AAGATTGGATATTTATTATTGTTTTAAACATTTGTTTTAATTATAAATTTTCCAATTAATTAAATATATTTAGTTTGAATAATTAATATAATAAATTTGAAAGTTTTATATTTAATATTTTAATTTATTATATTAAGATAAGGCAATTTAAAACTTTAAACCTTAATGGATTAATTTATCATATACTGTACTTAGCTTTATTGAAAAAATAATAATTTTTAAATGTTGTGTATATAAATATTTACGCGTAAACTAAATTACTAAGAAAAATTTTTATGAATAACCAACCAATTAACAAAAAAAATAATAATAATATATACACTTTAAAGTCTAAAGTCTTCTAAATTAAACACTATATAGCCGATATAACTTAAAATAATATATATTATTATAAATTTCAGCACCAACAAGTGCTTTAATGATGTTCGAAATCACTTAAAATTAGCCATCAAAAAATAAAAGAAAAAACTCATTAAGTGGATTTATGGACGGTTGTACACGTAACACCCATTCTGACACAAAATTTGGAATAATGGCTGAATTGTACCTGTCTTTATGCACTTCGCTGCTCAATAAGCATCTCTGATTGATTCATTTAGTAAAGTACTCATAATTATTTACATATATCCATAGTGATGTTTCGGTTGAACAATTACAGATAAACTGCACAACTATAAATTAAGAATGACTAATTAAATGTACAAATAAATCGATGTATAAAATTTTAAAATTTAACAATGTTTTATGAGGTATAGTTATTTGTGTTATTTTAATATATAGTAATTAATGATATAAAAAATTGATATATAAATATTAAATTATTATATGCTATGTATTTAATCAACAGTTTTTGTCAGGTAATTAGCTTTATCTATCCTATTTACAGATAAAAAAAACTGGTAATTGAAGACTTATGTTTAGAAATAATCTTTTCATTACATATACAAAATTCAATGTATTTACAGAATAAGAAATTATTACATTAAATTAATTAATTTTCTCTGTGTAGTTTTCCTTATCAAAACAAATGATCAATTATTAAAAAATATAATTTATTTTGCCTAAATCGTGAATTTTTTTGCATTCTTTCAAACAAGTTGATTATATTAAAAACTTATTAAGGGAAAAAGATCAAAACAAAAATCGAGTTAATCCGTTCTGCTTAATAATTCGTGTCAAGTACTTGTTAGTCTCAGTTTGATTTCATTGTACCGTAAGGAACGAAATTCTGATTTAAAATAAAAGATTTTTATTATTTAGAATGCTTTTAATCATTACTGCAGTGTTTTAAAACGATCAAAATATCACAAAATTTTATGAATTTGTTTGTGTTTTACTTATTAAAAATTTACTCAATTAATTAACAATGATTATTAATCGCCTATTTTCTTTAAAACTTGAAAATTTTATTTATTATTAAAATAATTAAGACAGCATACATATGTTGTTAATCATTTTTATACGATCAAAGCTGTTGAGATGTCATCCTATTGTCTGGGGATCAGGAACCGAAAATTCCGGGGGATTTTTCAGGAGTGGTTTGTCCCAGTTACATCGGAATTCGTCCTTAACCATCCAGCCGCTCCATTGTAAGCCTGGCAGGACTCACGATGGACTTGAAAAAGGCTTTTTTAATGGCCTCAGGGCAGAAAAAGCAAAAAGTACTGGACGTATAGGACTGGGGTTTGCAGCGTCTGCATTGTCTGAACCTGCACCTGTGTGATCTGAGTCAAAATGTCAACCAAATGTACTGACGTTATCGTTATTTTCTGATCTATCCGAATCGCCCTTCCTTACCGAACATGACAAGAATCACGCTGCTATTCTGTTGTGATTTTTTGGAAGGAAAAAATGGCCAAGTCGATAACTAAAAATAAATTTATTAATCGTTAGTAAAATTAGAATACATTCAATTTTTCTTATGTAAGTCTAAGAGACTGCTTTCTTTTTCCATACCTTTGTATGTCCTCACGGTCGCGCCTGTCCAGCCACCTTGTAACTAGAAAGGGAATCAGGTTGAAACACTTCATCTAAAGACTGAGACTTCCAGTTTCCATTACATCGGAACAAAGTCGTGATGGAGAACTCAGCTTTTTGTTTTCCAGATCTTTAAAACACTTAGGTATATCAATTGTGCACTTGCGACCGCGATATGATGTCATTACCACATGCTTCATTAACCAAATTAAATGTTTTGGTAACGTTTTACCAAGTTTGACGCAGAATTTAATAATGATTTGCTGCTCGTGATAAATCGGTTCAAAATTCTGACAGTGCACACCTCCATACGACAATACTTTGATTTTTGTGCTCTAATCCATTCGAATACAGGCATCTACTGTGTTGAACAAGTACTGAAATGTCTAAAAATGTTCGAACATGCGCATGCTTGCAGTTACAATTGCAATTAGGCTACATGCTAGACAAAATGGTTCGGTTCATTTTTGATTCTATTTGCTGGAAAAAGGTCCTTATTGTTGAATTAGCTATGAACAATCAAACTTTACAGGATCAGATTGGGATAAGTCCAATTTATACTGTTAAACGATAAAACGCTATCACTAAGCACTGAAAGAAAAATGAAGAGAACGAATTAATCTGTATATATAAATGAGGATGTTTGTTTGTTCGCTATACACTCCTAGGCCGTTCGACCAATTGCTACGAAACTCGGCAGATAGGTTCGCGTACTTCCAATTTAGACAATGATGACAATGACTTAACCCCACATCAAAACATCGATTCGATTTCTATAATTAAATTAGATTCTATCTACATTCAATTTGCTAGCTTTATGCGTAGCGCCATCTATTGCAAAACATTTAAAATAATAAATTAAATATAATTGTTATAAAAAAGGAAATAATTTTTAAAATATATATATTATTTTCCCTTAATTACTACTGCAATGATATAACGCGAATTAGACGCTCTATATCATACTGCGACAGGCAGCATATAGCACTTGCTTGCGTGGAATCGAAAGTGTTACACTGTGAAAAGTCTACAGTAAGGTATATAAGTGTTTAATTTTCCACATCTAACAACTCGGGTTTCTGAGCGATACTTTCTTAATTCTAATAAGTGCCCTCCAGTGTTCGATGGAGTGCAATCCATCGAACACTGGTAGTTAGTTAGTCGTCGGTTCACATAGCCAACGGGCTGGTCACGTGGAGTTTTTTGGGTTTTCTTCACATTAGTAACACCTAAATAAGGTCCAGCTTCCCATAAAAGTCTTCCTGGAATGCATCCCCCTCGGCAGATCGCTCACGTGTCGCGTTGCTGTAACCAAACTATTTCTAACGAGCAATTATTAGTGACATCGAGCAGCAATTCTTCGTCACAATGTTCTCAATTCTTTTAGTGGTGTTTTGACCCTGTACATTGTACTTTTTCTGTTATAAATAGTCATTCCGGTCGGTCATCTATTAACTTCTTTCTACGGAACATTTTGAATTGAAGTAATTCCTATATAGTTAATCTGGGCCTTCTGCCCCCTAAGATTTCCATGTCTGGTCTTGAATTTCATCTAACTCCTTTCTCGAAATTAAGGAAAGACAGACAAACAGACAGGCGGACGACAGTCGGAATTTTTGCCTACAATTTTTTCAAATTGCAACTTGATAATTTTTCTATAAAAGCAATATTTATAAGAACATAAATTTCGCACATAGTTTATACAATATGTTGCAAAAATATAAACGCTTTATTATCACATAAAAGCAATTATTCTCACATTTTTACAAAAGTTTTTTTTATTTAATTAAACCAGTTTTATATGAAAGTCTTGCCGACGTTATGGTTAGCAACCTCGATCACATGCGGGGCCATCACAATCTGTCTAACACGGATCACTTTTCAAATATTAATAATACACCAGAATTAATTAGTAGTCGTCGACTATCCTTTCTTTGGGGAGAAGGTCAACGACTACTTTTGGTCGAATTAATTCAACCCCCTTCTGCAACCGTCTCTTCTTTCTATCGGACCAGCGGTACAATGGCATTCGAATAGGAAAATTACATAATACAAAGTTACCAGCCTGCACAAAATGTTTAAGTGGTTTTCGAAAGTGCCAAGTTTAAATATTTGATCCGTTTTTCGCGAAATTTGATTCGTTGGCAGATTACTATTTGATGTTTGGAATGGGCAATTTCTTAGAGTTAACATTAGAAAAAAGTTATATCCGAAAAAATTTAAGATATTGTATTTTCATTCTACTTGATCAAATAATGTGCCATTTCGTACCATTCGAATATCGAGATAAACATGACAATGGTAGGCTAAAATAACCAAACTCTTTATATGGTTTTCGTTATAATGTTTGTTTTAAATTTGATTTATATTTACAAACGTCATCTTACGTAAGAGATTTTTACACCGAGTGTCCAATCTAACACTTTAAATTGCGTACAGTAGAGGAATAAAGAATTTTTAAAATGTGTTAGATTGGGCACTCGGTGTGAAAAACTCTTACGTAAGATGGCGTTTGTAAACATAAATCAAATACTATAATATAACATAATAGAAGAGTTAGAAGTAAGATATAATCTAATAATCTTACTCTTTGTTGTTATTTTTTGCCTGGGCAATGTCGGGCTCATCTGCTAGTAAATTATAATTTTGAATGTGTTATCCTCATCATTTAATTATTATATATAAACATGTAGATAACATATATTATTTTATTTTTGTATATTATATATTATTTTCTACATTATTGTTAATTGTAACATACTGGTAACATTTTTCAGTTAAATTTAAGTAAAAATAATATACTATGATGTGTATCTATATCTATCAACTGTAATCAATCAAAGTGTGTCGAATCAGTAATGTAATCATGTTGTGTCGAATCAGCCCTAAATCTCACCAAAAAATATTTAATCTTATGATGAATATTATATTATATTTATTATTTAATATTATGCGAATAAATGATTATATTTCAATAATATATTTATTAAACTATTTATTCAACTTATTCATTCGTATTTCAGGTCTTTACGAAGAAAATCACGGAATTGTAAATAATAAAATGTATGATCCAGTTTACGATGAAATTTTTACTAAAAGAAATAAGGATCCAAAATGGTGGGATGGAGGCGAACCATTGTGGATAACAGCTAAATTACAGGGACTTAGAACTGGAACTTATTTTTGGCCTGGGTCAGAAGTGAATTTCAGAGGTATAATGCCAGATGCGTACTTAACATATAACGAGAAAATTTCTTTTAGAGACAGAATAGACACCGCTATTAAATGGTTGGTAGAAGATAAATTAGATTTAGTTGTTGCATATTTCCACGAACCTGATAAAGCAGGGCATAAATATGGTGCATTTAGCTTTGGTGTTGAAGAAGCTGTGAGAGAAGTAGATGACACTTTGGGTTATTTGATTGATCGATTAAAAGAATATGATGTTCTCGACAACATCGATATCATAATCGTCAGTGATCATGGAATGACAAATGTCACTTGGGATAAAGAACATTTGATTAATTTGAATAATTATCTGAACATTAGTTCTGATGTAAAATATATTCCTCAAATCGGAGCAGTAGGTGGTATTTGGCCTAACAACGGAAAGGAAGATGAAGTTTATAATAAGCTCAAGAATAGTCACCCTCACATGACAGTTTACAAAAAAGAAGAACTTCCAGAACGTTATCATTACAAACACAATCGAAGAATATGCCCCATTTTAGCTATTGCAGATGAAGGATATTATATTACATATGTAAGTTGATTTTTTTGTAATTCAAAACCATTGAATTTTTCTTAAATTAAAGCGTTAGTCAATAAGTCTAATTTTCTTTCCCCATTTTCCCCATCCGTCACGTCCCTTCTTTATTTATATTGCATTTTTCTTAATTCCGAAAAAAAATATAGGGCTCACCAGTGGCTGAGTGTATGAACCACTGAACACTGGTAGTTGGTCTTAAGTTTGCCTCTTGTCAACGGGCTAGCCACTTAGAGTTTTCCTGTAGTGCAACTCTTTGCAAAATAAAGGAAGGAAATAAGAAACGTAAACCTTTGTCCGTCAAAGATAAATTTGAAATTTTAGAATGCTACGGTGCCAAAAATGAGTTAACTCTCATTTCACAGCCCGTTAATAGATTTTAAGAAAATATTTAAATTTAAGTAAAAATAATATTTTTATTGATTTACTCTTTCCAGAATTCAACAGATCAATATGAGAAACTGAAAAATGTTACTGGACAACACGGTTATGATAATGATTTGCCATCGATGCATCCAATTTTCTATGCTAGAGGACCAGATTTTAAAATGAATTATACCAGAGACGAATTCGATACAGTTAATATTTATCCTTTGATTTGTCATCTTCTCGGCATCAAGCCTTCTCCTAACAATGGCAGCCTGAGCAACATAAAAGACATTTTGACTAATGAATCAAATAACGAAATAGAAAGAAACAATTCTGTTCTTAATTCTGTCTTTTCTACAATGTTCATGTTAGTAACACTCGTCATGATTTTATTTAGTGTATAATTATTTGTTTTATATGCGAATAAATCGTTTAAATTTTTGAAGAAATAAAATTCTGTTTTTCAGTTTTCTTTAATCCTAAATTAATCTCTTCTTTTTTATTCTCCACAAAACAAGCTAAAAAAAGTAGTTTATCTTTTTGTTCATTCTGCACTCTGTTCGGCCTTTCTCTTTAGGGTTTGATAACTTGTATTTCAGATTTATCAAGTCATATCTTTCTCTACATACTTTCTTGTTTTATCGTCTCTCTTAATTAATAAACTACTTTCTCAAAAATATGCCAAAACATGTTTTCTCAATAAGTTTACAGCTTCATAGAATATATCTTTCCTCATTCATCTTTCTTTATTTATAAACTGTTTCGGGCCAATCTATTCTTTTCATTTTCCTTCATATGCACTCTTTGTTTGGACTGATCATTTACGTGGGGAGAATAACAGGTGGTTTTCTGTCAATCTTCCTCACAACTTTAATTTATACATTATCTCTGACTTTTCTCTATTTTAAATAGTATTACTGCAGTTAATATTGATGCCAATCTTTAAAAATAAATATTCAAAAAACTATTTAATAAATTTCTTAATTTTAATGTTACTTCAATCCAGTTAATAAAAGTTTACAGAAATTTACACTTCTGTGGAATTATTATTGCTATGATAGACAACTTAAAATAAACCAGCAACGAGTTGCTGAACTTTCCCGGCAACATTTAAAATTTTTGTGGCGCCTTCTGTTATCATATTTTATTCAAAAAAAATTTTTTTTAATAATTTTAATAAAACTTTAATAAAATAACTTTTTAAACTTTTTAAATTTTTAACTGTTATAAAATAACAAAAAGCTTAATTTTGAGGGTAAAGATGAGTTTTATAAAAAAAATTGTAAACGATAATAACGAGTAAAATCGTCATTAAGTCCGACTCTATTGGAGATACACACGACTCCACCCTATCGATCTTTAACTATCAAAATTCAATCTCCCTAATAAACAAACCTCCCCGTAAAATTTCATAATTTTTCGACAAAAAGCACAGGAATTAAACTTCAAAGAGGGTAAACAAAATCGTGCTCCCCGACACACACAAACATAATTTCTGTATGTATATACAAAATGAACCCCCCCCCCAATAATTTTACATTTTTGGACTTAGGACACCTTGAAACGTCGAGAAATGCAAAAAAATCGGGGGTAATTTCTGTATGTATTACCCCCGATTTTTTTTTGCATTTCTCGACGTTTCAAGGTGTCCTAAGTCCAAAAATGTAAAATTATTGGGGGGGGTTCATTTTTTCCCGATCGCCATACTTTCTTTCTGTTATAACAGCTGAAAAAGTAATAAATTAACTGCTTACTTGGATGAATTAATTAATACCACATTAAAGTTTTATATAACTTTTTCAGCATAATTACAGATTAACTTGTACTACAGGCCGGATTTGGCCCGAAGGCTATAGTTTGAGCATCACTGGCCTAATGGATGTGAATTTGGCTTGTGACAGTAGCGTACCGTAGTGGAGGCGGCAGGGCCGGAAAAATTTCACAATAAATAATAATAATATCTTGTAAAAATTTGAAACATCCTAATCTATACTACTAGCATCGCGCCTACGATAGTGCTATCGTCCGGACAGTCCGGGAATCGGCTCGCCGGGAGAACTAGTAACTTTTTCATACGAGGAATTCCTGCGAAACATGTTGACCTTTTTTTTTATTTTTGCTTGTATGATTCATTCGCGTTCATATACACCACTAATATCCAATAGAACTAACTCCAATAGAACTCGGTATACGTCTGCTTTAGAATACGTCCTGTTTGGAAGAAACAAATTTTGCTCGGTATACGACTGTTGTTCGGTATACGACTTTTGTTCGGTATACGACTTAATTCAATTATACGCGCCATCTATGAACAAGTAGCACTATCGGCGTACTAGACCAGACTAGACGTTCGCGATGCAACGGTTTATAACTTTGTTAAATTTCTTCTGATTTTAATTTGTAAGTAACATTTTATTGTTTTTATTAATCATGAATTGCAAAAGGGCAACAGAAAAATAAAAAAATGACTAGAATCACAACGGAACTGAAAAAAGAGATTGTTGAGAAATATGAAGGTGGCAGGCGTGTTCGACATTTAACTGTTGCATTCCGTATTCCGAGAACGACGATATCGACAATCGTGAAAAATAAAGACATTATTAAATTTGCTAACGTTGAAAAATAAAGACATTATTAAATTTGCTAACGTTGCGAAAGGGGTTAAATGAATTTCTAAACAGAGATCGAAGACATTAGATCGTGTCGAGAAATTTGCTTTTGCTTTGGATAACTGAAAAACAGTGTGCCGGCGACAGCGTATCGGAAGAAATTATTTGCGAGAAAGTTAATAGGATACATGCTGATCTCATGAAAAATCAAGCAGAAACTAGCGAGGAAAGCGAGGTGTTTAAAGCCAGCCATTTTTTTTACACGAGAACGGACTAATCATTTTTACATTACTTCTTATGGAAAAGGTTGGTTTGGTATACGTCCTATTCGGTATAAGTCCAAACACCAGGAACGGATTAAGGTCGTATACCGAGGTTCCACTGTATTTTAAACAGGTCGTTGCACTACCACCGAATTTTTCATTGCTTGTTCTGTGACAAAACTGAATTTTGGTCTTTTAAACTGAAATACCTAAATAAGGGGGGGTGAAATTTTCCTTCGCTTCGGGCGGCTGACACCCACGGTACGCCACTGGCTTCTGATATACTGTAGATTCAAAACTTTCAAATCAGTTTTCTCGTACCAAAGAAGGACGATCTCGTATTTACCGTACATTAAAGGTAGGTAGTTCCAGTCGGAATTTTTAACACGTTTTTCATTCTGTACTTATAAGAATACGTTTTCGACGGAATAGTAAACTCTTTGCCTGGGACTTGAACTAAATGAAAATGTTCCATGAGTTTTTAGGAATAATGAAATTAGTTTAGAGTATTTTTTATTTTGTTTTTAATTAAAATTTTAACAAATTTTTTCTCTAAATATTCGTTTCGCGTTTAGCCAATCAATGCCATTAATTAAAAATAAATTCTTTGTTTTATTAACATTGATTCCTAAATCTACTTTTTCTATATAAAATACTTAGCTTACGAGAAATAGTCACTTTTTTTCTCGTGACGGAATATAGCCGGTGGCACAGGGAATCGATGAATCGTGAAAAACTTTTAGACAAGCGAGGGGAACACCACCTCCTATTATCTTCACAGATTTTGTTACATATTGTAACAAAAACACAATTAACATTGCAACGTGAAAGGAATTTAATACGACTGTATATTGTGTGATTAAGCCGCACATCTGTTAGTCTATAAATAATCAAATTATCTCACCATTAATAAATTTTATGACTGTGTAAGGATATGGCCATGCTTAGGAAAATTAAAATTCCAAAAGTCTATTGTTTGTTAATCATTAACAATAATTTATAAAAACTTTATTATACATTTAAATTTTCCAGAATGCAAAAAACAATTTTTAAATACAATTTTACTAGTTTAATAAAATTTTAAAATAATCTGATTTGATCTTGACATTTATTAATAAATTAAATAAGACATTATATCAGATAATTTTCATTGTAAAAATTCAAAAATTACTTGTGATTTATAAGCTCAAAAATAAAAAAAATGCATTATTTTAAATAAAATTATTTATAATAATGCATTTACAAAATTATTTATTTACATAATTATGAAAAAATTTCCATTTTTCTCTTTCAATTGAACAAAAGCAATCTACTTGCTGTTTGAGTAATTTTCGTAACTTTGTTTCTTTTCCCGGCCAGTGACTTTCACGAGAACACATCAGACTCTGTATATCAGGCAACTGATATCTAAGTATGTTTGATTCTTTATTTCTGTGCCAATGTAGTGCTGCAAGCAATAAAGCTTTGCTTTGAATATAGTGATGTAATTGAGAAGGTAGATAAATATTGATATTCGTTGCATTTTCATCAATTAGTTCTTGAATTAAAGCTAGAAGTTGAAACTGTTCTGGCAGTAAGCATTTATGTGATTTTTCATTAGAAAAAGTGGAAGAATTAATAATTTCTTCAATTGATTTATATCGTAGCTGATAAATTGTATGATCTGTATATACTCCCAATAGAGGAATAGAAGAACAGTAATACCAAATACCACCTGGAGGACCAATATAAGGTAAATCCAAAGATTCTAAACAGGTACCTGTTTCTGTACAACATATGTACAATTTCTCTTCAGTAAATATAAACATTAACTGTTTGTGTAGAAAACAATCTTTTACATCACCTGTAAATTTGAATAAATTCTTTTTACTACAAATATCTCCAGAACTATTTACAAATATTGCTAAAGTGTTATTGAAAAGAAAAGAAATTTTTTCCGACGAAGTGTTTAATGAACGGCATAATCTGTACTTTGTATCGGGATATTTCCACATTCTTAGATTTCTGGTTATAAGCATTAAAAAATCTACCGGAGAATCGGGTAGAGCATCATATCTAAGGCTTTTCCACGGAAACTCTCCACATAAATCACACAATCTAAACTGGAATCCCTGACTGCATATCACATAGATGGATGTCTGTTTAGACAATTTTGGTACAAGACAAAAGCTGTCTCCAACGGCAGTAATTTCTAATTTTGGGCAATTAGATAAAAGTGGATAAACTGGTTCGATAGTTGTATCGGAAATTTCAATACCATCTTCTAATGGAAGATTTCTTTTGAACAAAGAACAATTTGCATTTTCTTTAGCATCTTCACATCTCTCGCACCATATAATAGAATTGAGGCGATGGTGAAAGAATACCCAATTCAATTTGATTTTTTCATTAGTAAACAAGTTAAAATGCCCTACTGAAGTCCATTCATAATTCGACTGGCAGTACTGATATACATCCACGTTCCCTGTCGATAAAACTACAAATATGCGAGTTGGGTTATTTTCTCGGATTACACAAATATCAAATACGTAACCAGATTTAGGAACGAAGTTTGAATCCAAATTCTTTTCTTCTGTATTTACTTCGGACGGACAAACATCACATGATTTTAAGCATCGACCATCTATACTCGTATATAACACGTGACCAGGAATAGTCCAAATTCTCGATCCAGATTGAGGATTCCACTGTTCGTGGAACTTCTTGACATCTTCTCCTCTATACAGTTCCTCCGTTATGGCATCGCTTAATGTAAACATAATCTCAACTTTCGTTTCATCTTCCCACATAAACTACAACAGAACACACCGTCCAACATGGACTCCATGACACTCTGTACGCGACATCTAGTGGAGAAACTTTATAATCAATAAATTCATTTTATTATTTAAATTTTATAAAATTATAAATTAATATTTTTAGGAAAAGGATAATAATTATTAATTAATACAAAAATTTATTCCAATTTTAAAAAGTAAACAGTATTCGTGGCAGTCTTTATTTAATCTGTTGTGTGTAGCATTAGTGTTATCAACATACACAAGTTGCATTTAAAACAACATGTTTCTTTAATTTTATAATTTCAAACAATTTGTCACGTTTAATAATTTTAATCATCATATAAATAAATAAATAATATTTATGTATAATTTTATCTGAGAGATACATTAAATATTATTATTTATTTAACATGTAAGTTATATTTTAAATTTTAAATTTAAATCTTATAAAAATGTCTACTGAAATATAAGTTCAATTTACTGTAATAAAATTTGGTGGAAAAATATCTTTTTTCCACCAAATTTTCCAGAAAAATCCTCTTTTCTGGAAAATAAATGATATGTGTAAAAGCTTGATTTTTACAATACTTGCAATGCTGTTTATTATATAAATGTGAATGTACACATTGAATAATACATAAAAGATGGTAGAATCATTTATAGATTGATTTCTTATTCCTGTGGCATTATTAATATACATATTCATTGTATCTGAGAGTTGGCATGCTATTTGAAAATGTTAAAATGAATCTTTTACTCCTAGAAGTAGTGTTTGTTTTCCTCCTCCTGTGTAATGCAAAGAATAGGAATAATGAATTTTTGGAAGTAAAGAAACTGTATTATCATTCATTATTCAAAATATTTGTAATATAATTTCAGAATAGAAATAAATCTTTAGAAAAACAGCAAATCCTCACTTAACATTATTAACATCACTGAAGAAAGACAAATGTTTAAAAAAATCTGGTCACTTTGACAGATTTAAGTAAATGTCTTAAATAGTGTCTTTTAACATTTTTATTAGCTTATGTAACAATTCCCCATTCAATAACTTTCCCATTCTTTATTTTATTGTTTATATTATACTGTATTTTAAGCTTTATGTCATTTTTACTTAACAAAAACTATTGAGTAAATTTTCATAATATTGTTATAATATTTTCATAATATTTTCATAATGTTTAATATTGAAAGGCATTGTAGCATTATGTATAATTTTCTTTTATAAATCTTATAATATATAAAATAAATTATTATAAAAAGTATTTCAATTTGTTTTAAATTTTACTTATTTGATAATTGTGTTATCTGATAAATTCTTGTTTTTGTCATTTTAGAATATAAATGGCAAGGCAACGTCGTGGTGGAAAAGCTAGTACAAATAGCCACGGTGGAAGTGGACATCCTTTGCACAGTAAATTAAGTAATAAAGGCACAAATCAACAAAAATGGAATGTAAAACTATTAATTTTTGTGATGTTTAATGTAATTATAGTATTATCTAGCATTGTTTATCTTTATTTTAGTCATCAGCTAGAAAACATTGTCATAACACCGATAGATAGTCCAAAAATAATTGAAAATCATGGATTGAATGTACCTGAGAAATATTGGGGAAGTTATCGTGGTGGTCTTTACTTTGGATTGAAGACAAGAACTCCTAAATCTCTTGTTGTTGGTTTAATGTGGTTTTCCCAGAAGATTATTGACAATAGTTTACAAATACGTCATTGGTGTAATCAATGGGATAAATTAAAAAAATATGGCTGGTTGAAACACGATGGTCTTAATTTTGGTATTCAAGACATTGAAGAAGAAGAGTTCATTATTCATACTTCATTTGTTAAGAAAGTAGGTGGAAGTTATGGTGGTGATTGGACAGCAAGAATTACTGTTGAATCTAAGGTATTACAGTATATAAATGAATTNTGAATGCAATCCTATGTCCACACTGGATATCTATGCAGATCTTGTTTCAGTGCAGTCAAAAGAATATATCAGGTCACACTGGACAGATTCCTACAATAAATCTGGTAAGAACACTTAATCATTCTGTACAATACAGTGTAAGGACAATGCATGTGAAATTAAAGATTAGCAAGAGAATATTCCTGTAAAATCCATCTTAACAAACAAAGCATTGATATATATATATATCTCACTAACCTTATGAAGCTTTGCAAAAGTTTTAATGTACCACAAACATTTTTGGTCCACTTTAGGATCTTTTTCAGATTGAATTTTATTACAGAAAACCTTGTTGTGTTTCTGTTCTATTTCTGTTTCTGATGTGTTCCAAATTTTCTTTTAAATTTAAACCTATAATGATGTGCGCCTGCATCTGTGACTATAATGCCAGGCCATTCATAACCTGTCACACCTTCAAGAGTAGTTTTCATCCTTAAAATTGTTTGAAAGGCCATGGAATTCTGCTTTAAAGATCTCTAATGCCTCCAAATTCCTAAGCTGATGTATCTGCTGAGTTTGCTGGATCATGATCATTTGCTGTAATTCATGGTGCGTTAAAACTTTTGCAAAGCTTCATAAGGTTAGTAAGATATATATAGAATATTCCCATTTTCTAGATTGTACTGCAATGATTTCTTTTTTTGTACAGAAATAATTTCTTGTCATTGAAATGGTTTTATTGTGCTCAGATGTTTGTTTTATTAGTGAGAAAACGCGTTGACATAGCTCTTTAACATAACTTGTTATATCGTATCTCAATTGCATAACTTATTGGGATGTTCGTTTAGTAGCCCCACCATTTTGTAGCCCTAAACAGCTCTGGCCAATGCCGTGCTATTAAGCGGAATCGACTGTATATCCAAAACATTCTCCATCAACACAAGCTCTAGACCCAGGGTTTTCACCATAAAATTTTGAATTTCTAAGTTAAAAATACTTTTCAAATTAGGGTAATTATGTAAAATTACATTATTTGATGAAAACTGTTCATGAGAGAGCCATTTTAAATTGTATTAATTCCTTTTACATTTTTAAATCGTCAATTTGTGATTGCAAATTTTTATTTTTACTTCCAGTGAAAGACAACTTGACTCAATATGTGAATGTATTCAAGAATCTGACAAACAATTTTTTGAAATTGTTCATTACATTCTCAAATACATTCCTATATCAAATCAAGATCATCTTAGATTAGCTAACCAAATGTTTTCTATAAATTATTAGAAGTATTAATTAGGTCTTCAATTTTATTCCATAAGTCTGTCATTGAAGTGTTTGTTGGTTCATTCAAATTTGTTAATGAAGCAGAACATCATTTTGTTCACTTGATGATTTTTGTGCGTTCTGTAGATTTTTTTCTATTTGAGAATTAGTAGCAACTGTAGACAATCCCTATGAATCATTATCCATAGACAAGTTAAAATCTGTTATTAGTTTGGTGTTGGCTGAAACAGTTTGATCTCTTCTGTTACACAGTTTTGTTGGAGGTCTTCCATGTTTTACCAGGGAATTTTGCATAGGACTAGTACCACTCTAAAAATTAATGAGAGAATTGATTTTAAATTAATATTTCTCTTTATCAAATTATGTGGGTTTGTAAATCACCAGCTCACTGACTTACTTCCTGTCATTGAAGCTCAAAGCAAAAAGTGCCACAGTCACTGTAGCAATGACACACCCTTTAATTATAATTATTAAATTTAATAAGAGATTGTCCCTAATGCCTAACTCTAGTACCAAATTACTCAGAATTTAATTATTAATAGTAGTAGTAAAGTAGCCCAATTAAAATATAACAGTTATTAAACATCAGGCTTTGAGATGTTTATTTAATTCTCTGTATCATCCCGAGCCTTAATTTTTTAATAATAAATTGTTTTTGTTTAAAACAATTTGGCATTAAAACAATTTTGGTTTTGAAAAAAAAAATGGTACTACATCAAGATATAAGTAAATATTTATAATTGACTTGATATTTTTCTTTAGAGAGATTAAAAAAAAATTATAACAGTTTCTAAAAGATTATGTTTGGAAGTTAAGTTTTCATTTATGTGAAAGAGTCAATGTTAAGTTTTTAAAAGCTTTTTAACATTTTAAATAGAAACATTTTCTTCTTTTGATGATGATGAGTAAGGTAATTTTTGTATGCATATGCATGCTTTTCCTTAAATGCTATGATGAAATCTTGATATAAACATGATTTGAGTCCAAGTATATCAAATTAAGGTTAAGTTATTTAATAAGGTTTTATATGCATTTTTAAAACTGCATATAAAACTACTTATAAATAGATTTTTACTCTATGTTTTGCATGAGTCAAAATTATGTACAATTGTAAGTGCTATTTTTTTCAAATGATCCATAGTCTGTTTCTGTTACCTATGCAATGAAGTTTTTTGCAGATTTATAATTCATACGATAAATATTCCACCATTCAATTACAGATGAGCACACAAAATTCAAATGTTTTAAATTTGAACCATCTAACTCAGCTTCTTTTAAAGTCCAAAAAAATGAACAGATTTTGCATTGCCACGGAAATCTTTTATTTTTCAAATTCTCAAAATCCTTTGAATCAATTGGATTAAAATGATTGCAAATATTTTAAGGTTGTTCAAATAAAACATAGACTGGAGCATATAAAACATGGTGTCACTTATTACCACAGCAAGATTACAGTATAAACAGCATAATGACAAAACTGTGTTAGCTGTTATAAGAAGTTTACTTCCTGCATTCAGACACGTCTCAACAGAAGTCTGGAAAAGTGGCCCCTCACATTTTGCCTCCCACGTTTTGCCACCAGCACATTTGGCCAATGTAGATAATGAGTATACTACAAAAATATAAATAATACACCTAATTTTTTAATAATTCTAATTTATTTTGTTTTAATAGAATAAATGTAGATTATTATTGTTTAAAACTTAAAGTTATATGCAATGCCTCTAAGGTAATCAATCACTGGTAATAGACTGTTCTTTTGATTCTAGCAAAAATTGCAGCATACTTCTTGTTTCTTTGATTGCCTGAATTACTGGCAATTAGTTGTGTAATTTTGAAATTGTGCAGCTCTTCTTGTTTCTTTACAGAATCAATGAATCTGTAAATATTTGGGAATAAAATAGTGCAAGTTTCCTGAAATCTCCTGTGCTATCCTTCCATGCTGTTGTTGGTACATTGCTGATCATTGTTTGTTTATACACAAACAGTGAATGATTATTCCATAATTCGATGGCAAAAATGAGTAATTGTCAGCCTTTCCATTGTCTTCTTCCAATATATGTATGTTCAAAGTTGTTTACAACACCACAGTTTCAATGGGGAAGTCATTTTTTTGATAAAGTATTTATTTATGTCTTAAATAAATGTTTTAGATTTATCAATGAGCACATTTCTCATGATATCCATCCTACGTGAATATGACTGTTAAAAACTGGGCAATCATTTTCCTTTATATCATAAAAGTAATGTAATATTCTCTTAACTACCATTTGGCATTTAACATATTATTATGGTGATGTTGATGGAGTATGTAGTAAGGACCAAAAGTTCTTGACCTGGGTAAGGAAGAAGTGTTAAACAAATAAAAGACATACATTATTTTTCAATATAGTTCTCTTTTATTACAATACATTTTTTATAACATGAAATTAACAAATTTATACCATTAGAAAAATACTTTTTCTTTTNAATCAATTGGATTAAAATGATTGCAAATATTTTAAGGTTGTTCAAATAAAACATAGACTGGAGCATATAAAACATGGTGTCACTTATTACCACAGCAAGATTACAGTATAAACAGCATAATGACAAAACTGTGTTAGCTGTTATAAGAAGTTTACTTCCTGCATTCAGACACGTCTCAACAGAAGTCTGGAAAAGTGGCCCCTCACATTTTGCCTCCCACGTTTTGCCACCAGCACATTTGGCCAATGTAGATAATGAGTATACTACAAAAATATAAATAATACACCTAATTTTTTAATAATAAATTGTTTGTTTAAAACAATTTGGCATTAAAACAATTTTGGTTTTGAAAAAAAAAATGGTACTACATCAAAAGCAGGTTAAAAAATTCATTTTTACCCTTCAGCAACCTGCTTGTGAGCATAGTGGTGTTCTTTTGATGAGAGATAATAACCCAAAAACAGCTGAGGAAAGCCTTATTTTTATTTATTGATTTGAAAATTGAAATACAGGTTAGATTTATCATTAGAAGAGCAGACTGCTTTAGTTATAATGGTGGATATGTTGATATGAAATCCCAAAGCTGGAACAACAGTCCATATCTCAAATAAAACCTCAGTACTTACTCCAGCACATAATTCAATAAACACAAATGTTTTCAGCCCCTATTTAGGGGCCTTTGTCAGGTAGTACAGCTGTTCCATTGAACTCAACAACTTTTTAAGTTTTACAAAGTTGGTTGAGTTCGATGGAATAGCTAAACTACCTGACCTAAGCTCTTAAACGAGAGGCCAAAAATGTTTGTGTTTATTGAATCATATGCTGGAGTAAGTACTGAGTTTTATTTGAGATGGTGGATATATTGATTAATGTTAATAATTTATTAATAAACTAATTTTCTCCACCAAATTTTTATAAGGAATTGTGAATAAAATTATTATAAAAAATTGTTCTGGAAAATTATTGGCCAATTTGATATAATATAGTTCAGGGCAGAGTTTGTTAAATTGTTGTTTTTGATTTACCAAATTATGGTTCAAATTCTGATTTAGACAATGCTTAGGCAGTTTTAGATTTCAATACAGATTTATATTTTTATAGGAGAAAATACTATATCAATTTTTGTTGTAGTATTCTTAGTATTATAGTACTCTATTTGATTTATATAACTATGAAGGTTATCTTACATAAGGATTTATCAAACCAACTGACCAGTCTTACATAATATAATCTTCATAGTTATATAAATCAAATTCTATTAATTAAGTTACATTAGAATAATAGTATTTTTACTTTAATATAATATTGTTATATATACTAATTATATTGCCTGAAGGTTTTGAATACTTAAAACAGTCAGTTTTTGCTAATTTAAAGCAACTGGTCATTAAATGTTTTTATTTTTGATATTTAAATTGTATCGTTAAATATGTTCTTCCTTTCACATTAGTTTGTCTTTTGAATATATTTTAAAATAGTAATTATATTTTAACAAAAATCTGAAGATTATTTATAATATTTAATATGTAATATTTAAAATTTAAAAGTTCTTTTACTTTTTCTCTTCAGCTAAACACTACTCATTCAGTTCCAATATCATTGCTATTCTATACTGCTACTAATGGAGATGGATTGATTTTACCAAAAGTTGTTGATAAAAATCAGCTTACTGAAATTCATGGAGAAACAGAACATTTAGGAAGATTTACTATCAGATTTTTATCAGATGCTTCTAATGGTGGCACAATTTTAAAATATAATTACCTGAGTACACTTGCTCCAGAAGGCTTAGCAACATTGAAAGAAGTAATTCTTCAAAAGTTAGCACTTTTTCAGTCAAAGAAAGGAAATCTTCAGTTACTTGGTTTGGTAGGTCATTCAGTTCCTTCCACTGAGCAGAGTAAGTCAGCTAATTTTATTGTTCATCAAGTTACCATTTTACCTCCTTTTCAAATGGAAGTTATGTTTGAATCAGAAGATTTTGTAGATCGTCAATATCAACTAACAGGAGACATATATGACAGAGAATTATTGCATCATAAAACCAATTTTGATAAGCAGTTTGAAAATATTTTTAAATTAAATTCTAAAGGTTATTCAGAAAAAGAAATTTTAGCAGCTCAAGCAATATTCAGTAATCTAATTGGAGGAATTAGTTATTTTTATGGTTCATCTCTTGTTCAATCAAAATATAATAAAGAGCCTGTAGAATATTGGGAAGCACCATTATATACAGCAGTACCATCTCGTTCTTTCTTTCCCAGAGGATTTCTTTGGGATGAAGGTTTTCATAATCTCCTTATTAGTAGATGGGATGCTAATATAACCAAAGAAATACTTGGGCATTGGTTTGATACAATGAATTCTGAAGGATGGATTCCTCGTGAACAGATTCTTGGATTAGAAGCAAGAGCTCGTGTGCCAAAAGAATTTATTGTACAAAAGAATACAAATGCTAATCCTCCTACATTTTTCTTGACTATTGATAGCCTTATCAAAAGAACTGATAATCAAAATTTAGAAAAGGACAAAGCATTTTTGAAGCATCTTTATCCAAGACTAAAAGCTTGGTTTCTTTGGTTTAATACAACACAAAATGGAAAATTACCAGGTACTTACCGTTGGAGAGGAAGAGATTCAAATATTAATAAAGAACTTAATCCAAAAACATTAACTTCAGGACTTGATGATTATCCCAGAGCATCACATCCTACGATTACTGAATATCATGTTGATTTAAGATGCTGGATTGCTTTGGCTGCTGGAATTTTAGGAGATATAGCACAATTAATTGGAGAACCAAGTGATGAATTTGTAGCCACTAACAAATATTTAACAGATAATCAATTGCTTGATAAATTACATTGGTCTCCAACTTCTCAATCATATTGTGATTTTGGATTACATACAGATAATATTAAATTAATTCATCCAAAACCACCACATATGCCTCCAGGGCATCCAGTGCCTAAAATGGAAATGGTTAGGTATGTTAAAGATGAACCAACATATAAATTTGTTAATAATTTGGGATATGTTAGTCTTTTTCCATTTTTATTGAAAATTATAAAGCCAGATAATGCTAAATTAGGAAAAATTCTTAAAGATATGAGAGATCCAAATCTTTTATGGACAAATTTTGGACTCAGATCTCTATCAAAGAAATCACCATTATACATGGAGTACAATACCGAACACGATCCACCATACTGGCGAGGTACAATTTGGATCAATATTAATTATATGGCACTTCAAGCTTTACATTACTACAGCAAGACACCAGGTCCTAGTCAAGAACAGGCATTTAATCTTTATACAGAACTTAGAAAAAATTTAGTGACAAATATATTATCTGAATATAAAAGAACAGGTTATATTTGGGAACAATATAATGATAAAACAGGAAAAGGACATGGTTCCCATCCTTTTACTGGATGGTCATCACTTGTTGTTTTAATTATGGCTGAAATTTTTTGATTTGGAAATAAATATGGCATGCAAATTATTTTGCACAACAGGGGAACAATTATTTTAAAATAAGGTTTAATATACAAAATTATTGTTCACTTTTATAATTTGTCACAAGCTCAAACTTGTTTGAAAGAAAATTGAAAATTAAAAATTTTAGAGATTGTTAACTTGAATTACTAAATTTGTTGTTTGTTCATTTGTTTTCTTTTTCATCGTAGACTTAATTGAAAGTAATTCAGAATTTAAAACAGATTGCCAACATTTTTGTAAGATTTATATGAATGTCATTTTAGATGTTTGTATTATTAAAGAAAAAGTTTACATTAGTAATTACTTTGATCCAAACCAGTTTTTACAGGAAAAAAGTAAAATATGTGAATATAAAAGTTATTTTCAATAAAAATCATAAAATGACCATTTTCTAGCAAAAATATCTTGCTATTTTCACCATTTATGCCTAGATAATACAGGTAACCCCCGTATAACACGGCACTTCTATAGCATGGATTTGCTCTAACACGGTTTGAGAATTGGTACCATCCCCTGTATAACACGGTACTTTTATAGCACGGTACTTTTATAGCACAGATTCACTCTGACACGGTTCGAGAATTAGGTAAAACCCTCGTACAACAGGAAATGCAATAAATGTTTACATACTTAACTAATAATAGTTCACGAAAATAATAATTTTTGTGAACTATTAGTACTTAAGTATGTAAATTTTCTCTTCTNAATAAAAGACATACATTATTTTTCAATATAGTTCTCTTTTATTACAATACATTTTTTATAACATGAAATTAACAAATTTATACCATTAGAAAAATACTTTTTCTTCTCAAAATGTTTAAAAGCAGCTGCCTGGATTCTTCATCACTGTTAAACTTTTGTCTATGAAGATCAGACTTCAATTTTGAGAACAAATAATGGTCACTCAAGACCAGGTTAGGATCCCTATGGTTGATGATGATGAGCAAATTTGGTGTGGCTACATTCTTTAATGACAACCTTTACGGGAAATACAGTGTGAATGAATGCATTATCATGCAGGAGCCATATACCTTTTGAAAGTCTACCCCTCCTCTTTTCTTTTATGGCATCCTGGAGTTTTATCATCAGTTTGACATAATTAGGAATGGTTAGGTGGTAGGTGTAATTATGGAAAAGTGCTGATAGAAGTTTTTCCATATCAAAGTTAATAACTGGAAAATTATTGCCAAAATCTATTTTAAAGTGAAATTTACATATTGTTGTCCAGAATAATTTACTGTTCCTACTTTCATTGATCAAAAGTAGATTCTAGATTTCCAAAATATTTTTTTTTAGCTTTAAGCAAATCATTGTAAGTTTGTTTAAAATTCAGATGATACTATTATTAATTAATATCATTTGAATCCTTTCTACATCATTTTAGGTTTTGCTGTTTTAATAATTTCATTTTGTAGCAGTCTGAGTTCAACCAGAGTTCCTTGAATGTATGATGAGAAATTTCCACTCCATTTTTATTTGTATGTATTCATTCATTAATTGTTCTATAGCTATATAAATTTCACCACAATTAGAATCATTTATTTTAGGAATGTGATTAAATTCAATCTCTTTTTGTTCAAGTATCTTGAAAAGTCATAGTTTTTCTTTTGCTAGTTATTATTAAAGCTATTTAACTTCTTTTGGGTACACACAGAAAATTTTTCTATTGAATTAAAGTGATCAGAAGCATCATAAGTTGTTATGATAAATTCCATACACAAATTGAACAGGAACTCAGTACATATAGAAAAGTTGATTGTGGATTTCCATTGTACATTATGCAGGTATATTCAGCAGGACTGTCACATTTAATACAGCCATTTAATAAATACATAGCCATTCATAATCTATTGTTAAGTTTATTAAATTTTGGCCTAATATGTTGATATGCATATCTTTTGAGTGTCAAATATTCCTGATTAATTTGTTGGTTGGGGCCCTTGTATCACGAATCATTCATATCAGCTACACAAGAATTAAAGTCTCCCCAGTAAAAGGATATACAGTGTGATATGATTCCATAACTCTATATTGTTTGAAAAATTTCTTTTAGTATATATAAATGATCTGGAGGAAAATAAATAACCGTCACAATCATGAGTTTATTCTTTAGATTTATTATTTGAAGGATTTTGCATAAATTCTTTTTTATTAGAACACATATGCCTCCTTTAGGTCAACTTGAACCTATTGATATTTGCAGTGAAACACTTTCTATTAAATATGTTTGATTTGTAAAACAATTCCAAGATTATCATGTTTCTGTTATACTGATGATGTCTGTTTTAAGATTAAAATGGGAAGAAATACAATGTTTTGTTTTTTAGACCCTGGCAATTCCATTTTAATACTGTGAGCATTTGATTTTTTGTAGTTACTGTTCTTAAGAGAGCTTTCTGTGGTTGGTTGTTTATCAACTTGTTAAATACTTTGATAGTAGGACTACCAAAAAATTCTCTGCATTAACCAACTGCTTTGTCCCAACATTATATGTTATTTTGTCTTGACCTACCAACAGAAAATTATTATGTAGTTTTATTGTTGGTTGTTTTTATTTTTATATAAATTGGAAGGAGATTATATCATTAACTCTAGAACTCTTAGTGAGATCTGCTGAAATTTACATGCTTTGCCAGTCATCAAGTAAATTTTGTTGTTTTTTTCTTAATAAAGACAGTAAAAAAATTGATCCCAAACTTGGTTATTTCTTAATGTTAATCTTATAGTTGGGTTGGTTGTCATGGTTAATTGAACTACAGTCGATTCCGGTTATTAGCCTAGTTGGTTAGTAGGACATGCCGCGTATTAGGACAAAACATTCAAGAATGGAATCAAATCCTATAATGTAAGCATAATTTACTTTGCCTACTGGCTCTGAAATGCCACTTAGTAGCCCTGCTGGCACAGTATTCTTCTTGGAAAACTAAACAAAAGAGACATGAATTTGGATATTTTCAGCTTTTCCATATGCAACCTCTGTTTGATTTCCTTTTTCAGCTGTCAATTATGGTTAAGAAACACAAGAAACTTTTTAAGGCCTTATTTTCCTCTTTCACCTCAATCATATCAAATTGGCTCAACCACTCATACGGATCACATGTTTCAACAAGATTGTACCTCTGCCATACAAAATGACAAGATAGAAATTCTCGGAAATTCTTCATTCCCTAACTCATGTCCCACCCCAGTTTTGTCTTTGTGGCCATTAACCGTCTGGAGGGCAGACAGAGCACTTGTCCTTTGGTTCTCCAGTGTTCAATTCAAGATGCCATGGACAGAATTGATGCTTGCTAAGAAAATTGATTGGCTAGATCAAATCAGAAGAGAACCCCTAGCACCAGCTACCAGAAACTTGCAGAGATGACAGATCTGTCCAGAAATACAATCTCATACTTGATAAAGCAGGAAGACAAACTTTGAGAAGAATAGACATCATGTGAAGGAAGCCAAGGAAGAATTTAGAAATGGAAACTTGAGGGCAAGGATCCAGAAGTTGACCATGCTCTCAATCAATGGTTTGCAACTGTAACTGTGAAAGGTGTTCATGTCAGTGGTCCAATACTCAAACGTCAAGCAGAGGTTTTCACTAAGAAGCTGAATTACCACAATTTCAAAGCAACAGATGATTAACAAACTTCATGCAAAAAGAAAACAATTTTTTGAGAATTTTGAAAACATCAAAATTAACTTAGGTACCTTTTCCATAGAATTCTTCCATAGAATTTTCATAGAGAACTTATTAAAATTTTTCTTTTATTTAAATGATATCAGAATTATCAAATTCCAGATGGTTGATTGTCTTGATGGAAATCGCGGCATGAAATTAAATTTAAGAAAGTTCATAGTGAGAAGGAAAGTGCTGACACTTGTGGTGTCAGCACTTTCCTTCTCACTATGAAAAACACCAAATTGCCCAAACTTCTGGAGAACTTTTCTCCATATGACCTCTACGACGCAGATGAGACTGGACTTTGTTATCATGCTACACCAGGTGGCTTGCGCTACAAACACGTTGCTTTATCTTCAATGAGAATGATGTTAATGCAGAAATGTCAATACATGAGTTTTTACGAGTTGACAACAATCTTCAATGCCACAAAGAAAATGAAAATCTGGAAGATGGGATTGTGGCATAAATCACAGCAAAACATCAAAAGATATCAGAAGACCAAGAAAGTGATGAAGATGACATTCCTGAGCCTGAGCCAGTAACAAGCCACAATCCCAGAAAATTCATCGATGGACTACAGCGCTACTTCGTGCTGTAGTCCATCGATTACTTCGTGCTGGAAGGCAATGAATGCAATCTTATGTCCACACTGGATATCTATGCAGATCTTGTTTCAGTGCAGTCAAAAGAAGATATCAGGTCACACTGGACAGATTCCTACAATAAATCTGGTAAGAACACTTAATCATTCTGTACAATACAGTGTAAGGACAATGCATGTGAAATTAAAGATTAGCAAGAGAATATTCCTGTAAAATCCATCTTAACAAACAAAGCATTGATATATATATATATCTCACTAACCTTATGAAGCTTTGCAAAAGTTTTAATGTACCACAAACATTTTTGGTCCACTTTAGGATCTTTTTCAGATTGAATTTTATTACAGAAAACCTTGTTGTGTTTCTGTTCTATTTCTGTTTCTGATGTGTTCCAAATTTTCTTTTAAATTTAAACCTATAATGATGTGCGCCTGCATCTGTGACTATAATGCCAGGCCATTCATAACCTGTCACACCTTCAAGAGTAGTTTTCATCCTTAAAATTGTTTGAAAGGCCATGGAATTCTGCTTTAAAGATCTCTAATGCCTCCAAATTCCTAAGCTGATGTATCTGCTGAGTTTGCTGGATCATGATCATTTGCTGTAATTCATGGTGCGTTAAAACTTTTGCAAAGCTTCATAAGGTTAGTAAGATATATATAGAATATTCCCATTTTCTAGATTGTACTGCAATGATTTCTTTTTTTGTACAGAAATAATTTCTTGTCATTGAAATGGTTTTATTGTGCTCAGATGTTTGTTTTATTAGTGAGAAAACGCGTTGACATAGCTCTTTAACATAACTTGTTATATCGTATCTCAATTGCATAACTTATTGGGATGTTCGTTTAGTAGCCCCACCATTTTGTAGCCCTAAACAGCTCTGGCCAATGCCGTGCTATTAAGCGGAATTGACTGTATATCCAAAACATTCTCCATCAACACAAGCTCTAGACCCAGGGTTTTCACCATAAAATTTTGAATTTCTAAGTTAAAAATACTTTTCAAATTAGGGTAATTATGTAAAATTACATTATTTGATGAAAACTGTTCATGAGAGAGCCATTTTAAATTGTATTAATTCCTTTTACATTTTTAAATCGTCAATTTGTGATTGCAAATT